TGAAAAACTTGCTGTCAGCATTAGATAAGCGCTTCAAGTTAATAGACTTGTAAAACACACGCTCCACAACACACGCTGACCCCCGAAACTCTGGCAGGGCTCAGCTCAGACTCGACTCGACTCGACTCGGCTCGGCTCTGGTTGCAGCCGAAAACTGGATTTTTATTTATTTGTTTGTCGTTTGGCATGTGGCGCGTGTCCCAGCCCCGATGCGGATCACATAAAAAATAGTGAAATAAATAAAAATGTTATACACGCCCCTGCAGCCGGTCTAGGGCGAGGTCGTGCTCGATGGGGGCAAGGGCAACCCTTAGCCAGTCGCTTATCTGGCCAGAACTAACAATTTAAGTTGTCAACTTGATATGAGCAAGAACAACAAAAACAACAACAAGAACATCAGATACATTTGCCGATTGCCTCTGTCTATATCTGGTTGAGCGAAACTTTTCTGTTTAACTAGTCTCTCGGTTAATTTCGCTGTCTGTGCCCCGACCTCTAAGCTCTCTCTCACTTCTCCCTCTCCCTCCTCTTTGTTTGATGAAACTCGACGTCGTCTTGGTCAAAGTTTAGCTCATCAACAAATGACCGCACAATGCGTGTGTGCTGCATGTGCCTGTGTGCGTGTGTGTGTGCGTGTGCCAATTTGGTTTCAGCCTGATTGACAGGCCACTTCCCTTGGCAATCGAGTATGGAGTATGGAGTATGGAGTATGGCGCATGGAGTATGTGTGCTCTCGCTGCTTATCGTTCAACTTTCAAAGTCAATTTCAATTAATCAATTGTCAAGTATTTTGACAGCCGAATTTATAGCCCACTAAACCACCAGCCCAGGCTCAGTGCGTAACTTTGTGCGATTAGTTCCGACTTGTTACAGACGCCGACTCTTTCGGTTTATGAAATAATTAACTTGCCCATGGACATGACATCGGCCAGACATCGCATATGACGTCGCTCAGCTGAAAGCTCGTAGCACCCCATGCCAGCTGTAGTCCTCGCTTGATTCTTTTTTGTAAATAACTAGATAAATGAAAAAAGAAAGTGTGTGAATAAATCCGACAATAGTTCTATGTTTTATTATCCTTACTGTAATAACAGCATCAGATGAAATCTTACCAAGTCATATGTATTATAAAATTGAAGAATGCATTGCGCATTTTACATTGTAGTGTATTATTATTATTATTATTATTATTATTATTATTTTTTTTTTTTTTTAATATTTATTTTTGCTTTCAACGCAAAATTAAGAGCTAAATTTGAGTAACTTGTCAAGGACAACTTTATTTTATTAAAAATTCTATATATTGGTATAAATAATACTATAAAGCCTTCTGCTATGTTAAAATAAATTTGTGCCAAGAAATATATATTTGAAAATACAGTTTTGTTATACCCTGAGCCCATTCGAAATGGAAAATCGGGGTATAATGGTTTTTTTTTTTTTTTTTTTTTTTTTTTTTTTTTTTTTTTTTTTTTTTTAAAATTT